AATAAATGCAATAAAAAATGTATGTCAATTTCTTTTGAAATCATATATAAATACATATATGTATACGCTTACCCGTGGATAGAGTTAACAAAATTACTTTTTGGCTTATTTAGCAGCTACAGCAGCTTTCGACAGTTCAGCGTATAAACTTTCACGGAAAGTTTAGCCATTTCACTTGTCTTTTATTAAAAATTTACAGTTGAATTTGCATTCGATTATCTGCTGCTATTGCACATTTACTTTGAATTCAAATGAGTTGAAGGTTGCAATAAATAAATATTTATTACGATTTTTTTTTTTGGAAGCTTATAGATTTCATTGCTATGAATATTGAAAGTCAACTGAATGCTGCTACAGCGAGAAAAAAAATAATTTTAAAAGAGATTAGTTCACAACGTTAAGTTTAGACTGATTTGTGGTAGCTGGCAAAGGCGGAGGTCGCATTTTCCCAACTGTGAAGTGGTTTAGCGGTGCTCGCCTACTCTATGTGAGCTTAAAGCTCATATTTAATAAAAAAAAATCTATGGAAATACAAAGTTTTAGGTTAGACCTATTGAACCGTTGTATTGTCAGTCGAATGTTCATTTTAATTCTAGGCTAAGTAGTCAGCACATAGGATGTCAAAGCTTTTTTTGCGACTTTTCAGAGAGCCTGGAACAAGATAACGCCTTGATGTCTAAGACGTGTTCTAGAAACGGAGCAGGTGTTCCAATGTCCTATTCATGCCTACCCCTACTACATGGGTCACTGCTACTAATAGCCATTCTACTTGCGTATGATGCTGGTAGTTTGTGGTCTCTCAGTATGCCTAAAACTGGCCTACAATCTTTTCGAGCCTGCATAAGCAAAATATGGATTTGCTGCCATTCCACATGACGGTCTTGTATGTCGCTAATTAAGTAATTCCGTTTTAACTTTCCTTTCCATGTCCTTGTGGCCCGGAACACAATCCATCCATAACCTTACCACTTCTAAGGCCTCTTTCCGACGCCCGATAACCGCCTTAATTGTCTTGATTAGCGCATTTGATATTTGTCGTGTGGTCTCTTATGGTGTCTACCAATTGAACTTCTTTCCATACCGCATAGACTTGGTAGCTTTAAGAGTTATCAGAGTTCTTACTCAACATAAATACGTATTCACAAAAAATTCTTCAATCGAGCAACACCTTATCTTACTCATCCATTTGCGACTGTACCTAGCTCAGACGTAGATCTTTACTATCTTCCAGAAACTCAAATGCGCCATTGCTCTTGAGTGTATTAATTCCGGGAAAAACATTTTTAATATTTCTTAAAAGGAATCGCATACCTTCCATTGACATTTATTCCCAAATGATAAGACTTATGGGCTGAATTTGTACGAGAATAAACATTCCTACTTAACGGTATTGAGTTATTTGAGCAATTTATTTTATTTACTTGTCACCACATGTGTATGAGCATCTCTTTTCAGCTGAATTCATTGCCAAACTATTGAGACGGGACTACTTCTACCAAGGCTTAAGTATTGGACATTTTTAGTCATTAATTCAGTACAGTGGTATTCAATCGAGCGAGCAGATTGTCTATACATTACGTAAATTGATAAACAATAAGAGAGTTACATGAATGAAATGTCATGTGGAAGATAAGAAGAAAAATTCTACATAGTAAGTAATAAGCCGGAAGGATCAAGTACAGATGGGAGTGAAATTATAATATAATGAAGCGAATGAACTAAGTCTCTCTCTTCTAAATAGAAACTCCAGCGAGGTAACCGGATACTGTCCTTCATGGGTACTCATGGAAAAAGGATGGGCTACTACTCTTACAACTTTTGATGCAGCTGCAGAGACACAGATATAGAATCGGACTCGGTAGAATATTACCTTTGACACTCTCCAGACTTCAATGCGGTCCATAATCATTTTCCTATCAATTTCTGCTTTGGTTGGCTTGTAGAACATACATCTGTAGGTTTCATTAATCTCCTGAAAGTCATATAAAACACCAACTGGTTTGTACATATGAAAAGAAGAAAGGAATCTCCATCACAGTCCGTACATACGGCCCAGTAGGCCTTAATGTGTTTGAGCAGGTTGCTGTCGATAACCAATATATTTAACTAACTAACTACCCAACTAACTAACCAACTAACTATCAACTAACTATCCAACTAACTATCCAACTAACTCACTAGCTAACTAACTAACCAACTAACTCACTAGCTAACTAACTAATTAGCTAACTATGTAAGTGGTAATCCCCTGTCTATGTGCATTTGTATGAAGAGTACGGGAAATTAGAAAAATGTGTGTCCTTCTTTCTGATTTCCTATTCAAAAAATTTTTCTTAATCAGAAATTCTTGGAATGAAATTTACACAAGCTCTAAAGACACGATTCAAAGAAAGTTTTCTCTTTTTTGTAATTTTGTGCCATTTCAAAATAACAGTTCAAAGCTACTCGTTAACCTGAATATATTATATTTCATTCCTTTATCGTCCTCAAGTAACGAGACTTCCGCGTTTTTTTTTTTTTTTCAAATAATACTCTCTCTAGTCCGTCATACCTTTCACCATGAATTAGGCAAGACTTTCGCTGAATTTTCGATTAAAAATGCATAGCAAAATCATACTGCACAGGAGACGCAACTCACAAAGGTGGAAAAAACTTGCTCAAAAACCATAAATTATTTGCGCCTTCGACTGCTCCCCTTCCCAATCAATGAGCTTCACTCCTTTTCACTCAGACACCGTCTCAGTGTCATCTACTGGTTCATTCATTGTTCTGTTATAAATTTCTTGTAATAAATGCAATTAATAAGGCATCACAGAAGGATATCAGTTGAAATGCAAAATGAAGAGAGAGTGCAAGAAATTGGTGTAAAGAAGGGTGCAGTGCTGAGCTCTTCATAAGCAAACGTGCCAGGTCAACTGGTGAGGAAAAGATATGCATAACTGTGGCCAGAATATAAAAGAAAGAATGAGTATTTATAATATTCATACTATAACTTGTGAGAAAGTCTTTAATCCCTTGGTAACTGTGAGAAAAGGGCATAGCAGAAACATGTCTGCTAAGGGTAACGTCGCAGGTTTTTTAGCTTGTCCTTTCAGTATCAGTCTGACATTGCTAATCACCACCCTAACACTGGCACGCAAATTCATTATAAATAAAGCGCTAGCGATACTTCACTCCTAGTGCAGCTTAGAGAAGCTGGATTACCGCCCAGTTCGAAGTATGGACATTTGCGGTTTCAGTCTCTATTTTATGTCGGTATGTACCAATAACTTCGTCTCACATTGTTAGAACCCCATAGATGATAGCTAGGATAGCATGTTGCCATATTTGCGGACTTTTGTGTGGACCTAATTGGGCGGCCTCGATATCCGAGCATTGCTTACTGGCACTCGAAAGACTCGGGTACTGGTAAGCTGTAGCAATATGAAAGATAGGTGATAAGTGGAACCCAATACTACCACAGCAAACTATAATCTAACCTAATGTCAGCTATTCTCATTTCAAGTATTCAAAAGTGGCTTTAATCCAATATACCGTAAATAGTGGATTCTGCTTCCTATGGTTTCGATAAAATGATTTTCCTTTTATCATTAAATTAAAAGACCAAATTTATAAAAAATCAATAAACAAAGGCGAGACAGTCTCAGCCCTGTTCACTAGCGCACACAACCAAATCTCAAGCCCCATGAAGGCCAACACAAAATACAATTCAGAAAGGAAACTACGCGATACTACGTCAACACCATGAAGCTATTAAAAAATTTGACATCCTTTTTGAACAAACTGCAGCACCTCAGCATCTTTACTCAGTTCAAATTATGTGTCCATTGCACTTTACTCATCCTACACTACCAACGCCCAAGGCGTCGATTTCCAATGCTTGAGTTATTAAAGCCGTTGGTGGCTTTTGGTGTAGGTTATTATTGTTATTGTAATTATTATAGTAGTTTGGTGTCTCTCTCTTTCTCTCTCTCTCTCTATCTCTATCTCTCTTTTGCCATAAAACTGTCAATTATTATGACTATTTATTGCATATTTATGCCCTTAAGTGGCGAAACGTAATCATTTTTGCATAGCCAATGATTTTATAGTTTGGAAATTTTTTATAATTTTTTTAGATTTTTTTTCCATTATTTTATGGCATATTTTATGACTCTATTTTGAAATGGCTTATGTTTTATTTATTTTTTATTTACTTAAAATTTTTTCTTTTAAATTAATTTAGCGTCAAAAATAGAGAATTTCAAGTTTTTTGTGTTATTTCGCAGTTTTTTATGAGGATATTCTTAGATGTATGAGAATTTTTTCATTAACAAGACGAGGTAGAACCTTTTATTGTATCAACCGCATACAAATTTTATCCTGGTTTCGGGAATCCTCTGCAGCCTAAAGAAATAATGGCATATGTGGCATGTGTTTTTTGATACTCATTATGTTTGTCTCCCTCACTCTCTGTCTGCTTCTGTTTCCCTCCCTATTTCTCTCTACATCTCTCTATCTCTCCCCATCTTTGTCACCCTCTTTCTCACTCTGAGATCTTACATATTCTCTAACTAAAAACATTTGCTATGAGTTTTTAACAGTATGACAGATGACAGCTGATGGAGTGCTTTGGTGCTCTCTATTTGGTCAAAGCCTTTTTGGATATATTTTGAAGCAATCACAATTATGCCAGCTGACACTAAAATTTAGTCAAGAACATTATTTTCCTTGTCAGCTGAAATATGCCTGAAATCACTGTCACCATGACAGGTGTTAGTTGTAATTTGACGTTTGTTTTATAATTTATATTTTTTTTATATATTATTATATATTATTTATTTTACGGATTTCATCGACAGCCGAGTGTGTATACTGTCACGAAGGCATTCAAGGAAATATTAATTTGCCATGACAACTGGATAACCGGCACAATGACAGCTGTCATTTTGTATTTGATATTTTAATATTAAAATTTTATTAATGTACGAAATATTTCAGTTGTGATTATCTTAATTTACCTTTATGTACAGCTGACTTAAATTTCTTTGGTTTACTGAACTGAAATCACTGTCAATATGACAGCTGTCAGCTGAGAGGGATTTCAATAATTTTCTACACCGAAATCACTATGGCAACCAATAGTTTTAGTTTGACATTTGCTTGCAATGATAAATTTTTTTTTAATATTTTTTTAAGATAATTAAAGGTATATTCCTTTTTTTTAACCTCACGGCTGACCACTGACAACTTCAAAATTACATAACGAAACAATTACACATTTCTATAGCATTTACAATATTCAAGGAAGTATTTTAGGTGCCCCAAAGCAGGCAAGCAAAGTGAAAAGCTATAATAAAACTTTTTAACCCCAAACTCTACACCCTTTACGCATTTCGAAACCGTAGAATCAACAATTTTCACAACATTTTTATTGCTTTTTAATTTTGTAAGAATTTTAACATGACGACGCACATATGTACCTTATTTTATTGAAGAAGCCATTAAAAATTACCACAAATATCGTTTGTCCCACATTTTGCTGACTTTTATGGCTTTTCGAAAAATTGTATTTTTGCTAACAAAAATTCGTACACACAAACAAACAGATTTGAATATATGATTGTTTAAAGCAGAACCGAAGAAAACTTCACAAAACGTTTGTACTGGAAAAAAATGAAAAAAAAATAAATTCTTATGACATTTTTATTATTATTTATATACGATAAATTCACGTATTTCCTTTTAAATACAAATACGGCATGGTATATTAAATATATATGTATATACCTATATGGTATTAGAGCGGGTCAATTTATTTCGTTGTCGAACTGAAACGTATTCTGCGGATAATATCAAGCAATTTTCGTGAAGAAAGAATTGGTCTAAAATGACTTTCGCTATGCTGACTTTTCAAAAAGCTTTTTATTTCAATAATTTGATTTCAATAACGTGATCATACAAATTTTCAGAATTAAGGTGCCCAGCTTGCTGAAAAGGCATTTCTACAAACTTTAAAAATCATTACAAAAGTCATAAATATTTTCAAGTTTAGAGCTAAACAAAAATATATAACTCAGACCATAATATTAAAAGCAAACTTTAGTTGTTTACGGTAATTGAAAATCAATGATAAGGCTTTGTCATTATGATATCAAAATTATTTCGGTCAAATGACCGCCGCAACTGGTTCGAATGAATTCCAGCTGAGAGGACTTTTTTCGACCAGTAATTGGGTCCGTATGTCATAGGCGCGATTTCGCTTAAGCTCACAACAAATAATCCAGCGGTCTTCAATCGCACGATCTTGGAGGCCTACGCCTCACCAAAAGTTGTCTTCAACAAATTGATTATTTCGTATGTTGCATGGTACGCAGCGCCGTACCATACCCAAGGTCGTTCACATCAACTATCTTCAATTCAGGCACGAAGAAGACGTTAATGATGCCTCTATAGCATCAAGAAATGTGAGATCTGCGGGTTAGGGGTTCAATAATTGATTCGCGGTAAGGCATGCCTGTCGGAGGCGAGTAAAATCCACTAATTCCCGCGACAGTTGGGGGTTTATACCACATCGACCCGGATTTTTTATTCGTCCAAAGACTGTCACTCCCGTAACATTCCCCAAACATTACTTGCAGGAATATTTTTTCGGTTACAACAACAACATGGATCAATGATACCCTCTACCCATGGAACACACCATAGAGTGACTTTTTGAGGATTTAACACCGTCTCACTAATGGCTTGGCGATTATAATCACATTATATTTGACAATTTTTTTATTGACGTACCAATTCAAACACAAGTGAGCTTCATTGTGAACGAAATTTTCTTTGGACGGACGGACTCGAGCCTTCAACGATTGCATTGTTCAATTAAACCAAAAAATCACATGACCAAATTGACCCGCTCCAATGCATGTGCAGTAATATTATTATTATACCTATGAACATGTGAAGTTGTGTAAATATGTTTATGAAATTTTTTGACCTGACTAACTTCATTGTCTCATTTTCATTGCTTCAAAATGAACTTCCTTCGCTGTGGTCCTTTTTCTTGTCCTTAAATATGTACTGCTTAGAGACAAAACAATTCCTGTCATATCTTTGGTGAACACTAACTATTCAATTGTCTCTAGCTAAGCTGTTTATTGTTGTTGCTTTTAATAGACTTAACTTTTGTTTCGACATATATGTATTCAACTCAAAATTAGTGCCTGAAATTAGTGCTCCTTAACATCATCAGTGTCATTTCGGTAAAACATTTCCTTTATTTAAGCCTCAACTCAGTCAATCCTTACAGCAGTCACCACAGTATACATCACAAGTCATGTAAGTGGTTACTATTGTGCTGTCTCACTTTGACTTCTGACTTAACACAACATCAATTACGGTAAATTGAAGCTTTTGTTCTACATCTCTGAGCAGTTTGTCCGCCATAATTGCTCTTTCCAATTACGCCATGATGCCGTTTACAATGTGTTCACATAGGCAGGATTATGGAAATGGTTTAAGAGTAGTAAACTGCAGGTTGTTATTGTAGCGGCTCGCTCTAACCCCGCTTAGGTACAGGTTTGATCAATATAAGTCGCTGTAGTCATCTAGTGGGAGGTCCCGAAAACCCGCTGTTTCGACGGAATTGGACCAGAGGGAGAAGAGGGTTAGAAGTGGGTTAGTAATCTGCCTGTTCTTTTTGTAGCGGCTCGCTCTAACCTCGGTTAGGTACAGGTTTCATCATTCTAAGTCGCCGAGGGCATCTAGTGGGAGGTCCCGAAAACCTGCGGAGAGAAAAAGGTGTTATAAGTGGGTTAGTAATGTTTACGCTTACTGATTTGTGCTATGTCACGCGTGATTGCGATTGCGTTATGGTCTGTTTCGATACTTTGCTCCATAATAATTCATTTATAACCCTAACCAGGAGTCCAAACTTTCAACTTAATCTTGTGTATGTAAACCTTGTATGAGCCAGTAAGTACTAAACCACCTCTACTAACCTACTCTTGTAAAGCAATTCTTTCCATTTCTGGCTGGCTTCCTTGTCTGCCTGCCATTCATCATTTACTGTAATTTCTATACACGGCTGCTGTTCAAAACTTCACTTGGTTTTTATAGTATTTTTTTTTTCAATCATTTTCATCTACTTCTCTTTCGTTCACTTTACTTTGCTGTTTGTCTTCAAATTGACGTTGTTGAAGTGGCATCGCCGCCTCATTTGTGGGATATACGTAATTTAATTTTAATTGTTTATTCTTTTAATTTTATTTCACTCCCAAACAAACATACACATACACGTATATGAATATACATTTTTACAAAAGTTAAATGCCACATGGCAATATGAGCAGGAGTTTAGTGTAAACGGTTTGTTTGCTTAGACATTTTTCGCGCTTGAGTTAAGTATTGTGAAATATTTCACTTTGGAACTTTGGGGACTTTGGCAGTTTCGCTTAATGCATGTATTTATATAAAGCGTATACACACACATATAAACAGACAATATTATTTTTATGGTTTTGGTGATTTGTTTTAATTTAATTTAATGTAATTAAAATGAGTTGTGCTGCGGTTGAAGTGGGTAAGATAAATTGCTTTTCGCTCTTTGTTTGCGCGAACATTAAAGAAAACATGAATTTAGGGATTCAAAGGATACGCTTTTTTAATTACTGGTATTTTGAAGTCATGGATCTTCATAATGAAAAATCTGTGAAAAGAAGAAGTGCGAGAGCGAGAATGGCAATATAAAGAACAAAAAATAAATTTTGTTTACTGTCGGTTGATTTGGCTTTTGACTTTCTGAAGAGCTACTAGTAATATTGTACAAGGAGGGGCCAAAATACTGGGATGCAACAAATAAATAAAATTATCTCAATTAAAAATCTTTTTGGGATTGAAGGGGATGTTCATACAACATGTTATCTGTTTCACTTAATTTATTTCATTTAGAGAAATTATTTTAATTGAAAAAAAATAATAATAAATCAATCAAAATGAAATAAAATAAGTCAAACGAATATAAAATTATATATAATAACATAAAAAAATGATGTAAAAAAAAGAAAATGAACTAAAATGAAAAAAAATAAACTAATTAAAATAAAATAAAATAAAATAAACTTAAATAAAATAAAATAATTAAACTAAATGAAAATAAAATAAAAAAAAATTAATTTAATTAAAATAAATTAATTTAAATAAAATAAAATAAAATAAAATAAAATAAAATAAAATAAAATAAAATAAAATAAAATAAAATAAAATAAAATAAAATAAATAAAAACAAAATTTTATTAAATTAAATAAAATTAAATTAAATTAAATAATTAAAATTAAAGAAAAGAAAGGAAAATAAACTACAATATAATAAAATAAATATGATATATTGTAAAACAAAACGCAATTAAATTAACTAACCAAAATTGAATTTAATGCATTATGAAATTAAAACAATATAAAATTGATTCAAAAATTATATATAAATAATTTAATTAAAACCAAAATGAAATAAAATAAACTAAATAAATATAATTAATAAGCTTTGAATAAAAATAGTACATTATAAAATAAAAAAAAAATAAATTAAAACAATTTAAAATTAAATTAAATATTACGTATAAAAAATAAAATTCAAACCAAAATTAAATAAAAAAAATTTAATTAAATATAATAAAATTAAATTTGAACTGAGATAAAACAAAATTTAAATATTATCAAATAAAACAAAATGAAATAAAGAATTAAATAACACTAAATAAAATAAGAAAATAGATATTATATATAAAATAAAATAATTAAAATATAATAAATAAATTAAAAATAAACTTAATGCATTTCAAATAAAAAACAAATTGATCGAAATAATATCAATATGAATAAAAAGTAAATTTAAAAAATTGAATTAAAACCAAAATTAAATAAACTAAAACAAATTAGATATAATAAAATTAATTTTGAACTAGCATAAAATGAAATTGAAATATTATAAAATAAAATAAAATATTAAATAACACTAAATAAAATAAAAAAATTAGATATTTTGTATTAAACTAAATAGAAACTAAAATGTATAAATAAAATATAATATAAAAATAAAATAAATTAAATACACACTAAAATAAAAAAAATTAAAAGGAAATTATAAAATAACATATAATTAAGTTAAGTTAAAAAAAAAATAAAATTAATCAAAATAAATAAAAAAGTAACAAAATTAAACTTAATTAAATGGAATTGTGGCTTTTAGCTCAGTAAAATCTTATAACAAAAAATTTGCAGCATGGCCGCAAAAACAATTATGAAATGGAACTAAATTAAATATTAGATTACCATAAAAATTTTAAACAAAATAACATGAAACTAAATTTAATTAAAAATAAAAGACATTGAACAAAATCTTTAATTAAATTAAATAAAAAATAAAATAATTCGAAATAATATTAAAAATAAATATAAAATAAAAATGAAAATAGAAAACTAGTTAAAATAAAATTAAATTAGAATTAAAATAAATCAAAATAAAATATATTGTAGTATAATAATATTAAACTCAATCAAAATAAAATAAAATGAAATGAAACAAAACTAAGTGATATAAGAAGAAAATAAAATAGGAAACTGAAATAAATTAAAATAAAATAATAAATAAATTTTCCATTTTGTGGCTGTGGTTTTTTTGGACATAACGGCCTCTCTTCCATTATTTCAGTTTTCTCAAAGCACCAAATGTAAAAATTTTGCAATTTACGTATCCCTCGAGTGAGAAATGTGTCTCGTTGCTGAAGAAAATGCCTACCGACGTACATATGTTGTAAATGCTCCGCTGGTTTCAGTTGTTGTGTGAGCTGGATTTATATGGAAAAGTGCGGCTGCTTGTTCCCTATTGGCTTCTCTTGAGGTCAATTCTTCACCAGCCAAATTATTCACCACAGACCGGAACAGATGACAATCACTTGGTGTGAAATCCGGACTATAAGGTGGATATATAAGAATATCCCAACCTTCCGGCGAGTCACTATTGATTTGTTTGGTCTGGCGTTATCCTGATGAAATACACTTTTTTTTCCTTTTTGGCCAAAGCTGGGCGCTCTTGGTGAATGCTTTCTTCAGACGATCCGAATTAGGAGCTTGGTCATAGCACAAAACCTTCTTGGCCGTCAATCTTAGCTTGGAAACTGTTTGCACCGTTGCAGTAAGTGATCCACTTTTCATCTCCAGTCACCATCTTCTTCAGAATGGCTTCGTTTTGAAGATTTCGAGATTTTGGTATTAATCTGTTATTTTTGGAAAATTTTTAATATTTTTTTCTTAACCATAAAAATTCCAATTTTGGGGACACCACACCCTTCATCTAAAAGTATTTTCCAGCGAATTTCAAAACATCGGCCTACACACACACACACACGCACGAGCACCCACGCCAAAAAACCACTCATTTCAATCCGTCAACTGTGTCAACAAAATCGATCCGCCCGCCGTGCTTTGCCAAAATATCAACACAACACCGTTGAATTGATTTATGCAAATGCAAATGCATTTTGATGGCGTTGCATTGATTTGTTGGATGGAAGGTTTGCATGTTGGCCACGCAAATATTTACGCTCTGCCACACTTGCACTGACTCAAAATACACTCATATGCATATGTATGTACGTGTATGTGCGAATATGTTTAATAAATATAAGCAAGATTGAGTATATATATATATATATGTATGTATGTGTGTAAGTATATATGACATGTTTGCATTCATTTTTAGTCACATAAAGCCGAATGACACGTTATGGATACAGTTGACTAAGTGATAACGGTTTATTTGCAATGCACTATTGCATATGTTCAGTGGTGTAAAAAAGGCGTAAATTCAACAATGAATATGCAGGATGAATGGCGCTTAAATAACGGGAATAGTAAACAAGTTGATTAAATTTCATTTGCGTATAAATAACATTTTTCACACAAAAAGCTGGAGTATAGAATCAGAGTATACTTTTTCGGTAATTCATAATCAACGCATGGCCAATTCATTTAACACTCCGCTCCATCTGGTGCGAATTGGTTAAAATCCTGGAGCTCTCCTTAGACAACCTCCGTGACGTACGCTAATCTTGGCCGGCTCCTAAGTGAAGTTGATCAAGTCACTTCAACAACAACAACGAGTTACTATTGCAGAGATGAACGTTTCAGATATCGGCTTGAAGCAGAACCGCTTTAGAGGGTAGTAAATACTGGACCATAATTCGAGAATAATTTACAGATCAAATGAACGCGAATGGCCTTAAGCCTCATTCACAGCGAGTCAGCCAATACTTTCATTAACTATCTTCCAGTGCATGGCATCAACGAAAATCAACCCCCTCACATATATTCGGAGAGCAGCCGCGGCAGTGGGGAGGCGAGTGTTGGTACTACTAAGTGGGCTCTGGGTGGCTCAACTCTTTGATATACGCAACGTACATGTACTCACATATGTCCTGCATGCAATGAGTGCTTGTATGAGACCACCTCTTCGCAGGGCACCTAACTTATATTCAGCTAACAGACCACCGTCTTTTCTGTCTTTGATCTTAATCCGTCGAAGAAACTCGTTGTTTAGGTGCTTCCTTAGACGATCGCGACATTTGTTAATTGCAGGTAGTAGATCATGTGAGGAAATCGTGAGCGGTCAAAAGAGAACCCAGTGAGTGTTGTTGTAGACTCTTAGAAAGCAATTTAAAGAACTACCAGCTGGTCAAAGCCAACGTCGTCAGTTCAGTGGTGACCGGTCAACGGTTGAAGCATTGTCTAAAATTGAGAAATCTAGAAAACACGTAACGCAGCCAAGGGAAGATCAGATCGAATTCAAAGTTTTAAGTAAAAAAAAGTGAACCTTTTGGCACACAAAAAGGTAAAAAGGTTTCGGCGAATTGCACAGATTATAAATTTAAAACAATAGCATTAGCACTGAGAGAATGAAAGAATTTCCAGGCATTTAAATGGCAGTGCAGAATGCGTGTGAGAAAGTAAGCAACTAATTTTAGTTCAATACAATTAACGCACCATTTTCTGCCAAGAATTTCAGATAAGACTTTTTCTATCTCAATTTTTGTAAATTTATTTTTTAACATTATTTCTCTCATGTAAATGCACTCAAACACATCACTCAACTATCTCGCAGCGGCTCATGCGATGTTTTAACACTTTTGTCAATTTATTTGCTTCGCTCTCGCTCTCAATTACTGTTAAATTAAGCAACTGCAGAGAATGTTTATATATAATATTTATAATGATGTTAAGTGAAATCCGATTGCTTAGCACGTACACGACCCATTTGGGGAACGGTCGAAATTGAAGACGCGATCCATTAAGAAACTGGCAAAAAGGCGATTTCGCACACAAATTGCAAGCAGAAAATTGCAATTACATCGACTGCCGGTGTTAGCATTTATACATGTGTCGGTGAACTAAACATGAGATTCAAACAAACTAGTTAAATTTATTAAAATATAATTGAAGATAAATTTAAAAATAAATAAAAAATTTTAGTGAAAAAAATTTAACGTACTGTGTCTGGAATTCGTGTCAACCATTTCCATCTAACCTATTGTTGTTATTATTTTTATCATTGTGATTAGTTTATTTCTTTTGTTCCCTTGTCTTGGCCAAAGTTTATTTTATTTATTTTATTTTAATTTATTTTACTTGGCATTCTTCAGGTGACACTAACGTACACATACATGCATACATACATACACTAATATGTACATGCATACTCAGGTAAACCTCAAATATTATTTGGTTTGGCAAGTGTACATATTCACTTATACCACTCATGCACATGAAATGGTATATCAACTTTGGCCTGAAGTATGTAGTAAGCACCAGCAGGGCAAGAGATAGACCCATCATTATACACACTTACACGTATACAAATAAACATTTTCACTGAAAATCATCGTACGCGGAAGACTATAATTCTAAATTGAAATACCATAAATTCAAAATGATCATGAAGGGTATAAAGCCTTCGACCTGGCCGAAGATAGCTCTTCTTTCTTATGTTTTCATGCCAGCTTTGAGTTTAGTTTGAGTTTTCCTTTTCTATTTTTCATTGAATTATGTTCATGTGCTCCTCGCATAGATATGTATGTATGTACGAGTATGTCTACTGAGGTCCAAGTAAATTAGCATACCTTAGTGAATTGTTGCTGACGCGAGCAGGAGTGCGGAAATATTAGAAATTTTCGCTGAAACAGTTTTTCGAAATCAAAAGCGAAGAAATTGTTCATTTGATTTTTGCCTCAAAATATATTTTAGTAATTAATAGAAGCTTACGGCTTTTGAGCGCTCACAAAATATATTTTTCGAAATAGTAAATATTTTTTTCATATTTTTCTATATATTTACATATCTATTTTTTTTCTAATAAAAGTTCAAAATAAAGTACTGTCATGTGCGACTTAAACAACGCCGAACAATATTTCACGAGATTACGTCGAAAATATCCTGGTATTGATAAAGTATTTTTAAAAATATTAGCAGAGAGGCGTACACCAGAAACTGCTGTTGATTATGAAAATTTATTTCGTAAGTTTTTTTTTTAAGAAATTGAAGTTATTATATACATACAAACATTCATATACATGCATAATATTTATCTACATATATGAGAGCAGTGGTCCAAACGATCGTCGACTGCAATTGAGTGGCCGACAGTGTGGCTTCGAAACGTTGGTTCCCCATATCCCACTACAAGCGGGTGTTTTCCAACTCTTTTCAATTTCAAAAAGGCTTTTCTGGGATAATGAGCTTTAGCTGTCAATCTTGGCATTATTTTAGAGAAACGAACTTAATTTAACGGTTAATATTTTAAAGCAAAAAATATATATTTTACCTCTTCATTCCACCAACCAACTTTTTTTTCCTTCGCTCGTATATAAGTACGGTTGTTAATAGTTATAAAAAAAATATACATACATGCATACATATACATATGTAGATAAATATAATATTAATAATAATAATTTCTTATTTTTTCAGATTTATTCATACAAAACTCCGACCTCTTTTATCCACCCGGACTGTGCAAACTGAGAGCGAGAGAGTATTTACTTTCGATTCCGTACATCGTGACATTTACCGATGAAATGGGAATTGCACGTTTTTACAGATTACGCTAGGCGAAGAAAATTTTATGTTATATATTATACATTATATTTAATTAATTTAAACTATGTGCATGTATTTTTTGACAAAAAAAAAATTCAACTCAAAAGCAACTGTTATATCTTCTTATTCTTGCTATATCTTCTCAGCTGTCATTCAAAATACTGGAAATCCGAAATTCTGTCACTCTCTCAGTGATAATGCTGTTGTACTTAATATGTGTATACAATCTGTAAAATTGGCCGAAACCTTCTTACCTTTTTGTGTGCCAAAAAGTTTACTTTTCTTTGATTAAAACTATGAATTCGATCTCACCTTCCCTTGGCTGCGTTAAGTGTTCACTAGATTTCTCAATTTTAGACAATGCTTCAACTGTTGACCGGCCACCACTGAACTGATGACGCTGGCTTTGACCAGCTGGTAGTTCTTTAAATTGCTTTCTAACAATCTACAACAACACTCACTGTGCTCTCTTTTGACCCCTCACGATTTCCTCACATGATCTACTACCTGCAATTAACAAATGTCGCGATCGTCTAAAGAGGCACCTAAACAATGAGTTTCTTCGACGGATTAAGATCAAAGACAGAAAAGACGGTGGTCTGTTAGCTAAATATAAGTTAGATGCCCTGCGAAGAGGTGGTCTCATGCAAGCACTCATTGCATGCAGGACATATACGAGTACATGTACGTTGCGTATATCAAAGAGTTGAGCCACCCAGAGCCCACTTACTTAGTAGTACCAACACTCGTCTCCCCACGGCCGCGGCTGCTCTCCGAATATATGTGAGGGGGTTGATTTTCGTTGATGCCATGCACGGGAAGATAGTTAATGAAAGTATTGGCTAACTCGCTGTGAATGAGGTTTAAGGCCATTCGCGTCCATTTGCTCTGTTAATTTTTCTTGAATTTTTCTTGAATTATGGTCCAGTATTTACTACCCTCTAAAGTGGTTCTGCTTCAAGCCGATATCTGAAAGGTTCATCTCTGCAATAGTAACTCGTTGTTGTTGTTGAAATGACTTGATCAACTTCACTTAGGAGCCGGCCAAGATAAGCGTACGTCACGGAGGTTGTCTAAGGAGAGCTCCAGGACTTTAACCAATTCGTACCAGATGAAGCGGAGTGTTAAATGAATTGACCATGCGTTGATTATGAGTTTTCGCGGTCAAGTATGGATGGGTAGAGATTTATTGTAGTTAACTGCTCAGGATCTTCGTCCGCTACGCCACTCACGGTTCAGTGGTGTTGAGCAGAGTCTTTACTACCTGGTAGTTTCGCTTTCAGTTAATGTCTGCTGTCTGCAGATTTTGCTTACAACCTAATGCCTAGCATAGATGTTTCGCTGTGTAAGTGTTGCATATCAGACATCTGTAGGTACTGGCAGTAAGGGACCATCTAGTTTCCAAAGAAATATCGGTTACATTTTAGAAAAATCATAATCCTTGTAACCTTCATTAAACAAAGAACAATCGATTTGCATATGCTTCACACACATAACATTGTTGCGCCTTAAGGCAAGTCAGCATGAAGAACAGGCAATGAAAATTAGCGTTTTGTTACATAATTAAATCTTAACTCCGCCTACCTGCTTGCGATCTGCAAGGCAGAGAAATGTTTAGTAGCTCAAAACACACGCTCACATACAGACACTCACTACATACATCAAAAAGTGTAGTCGCTAAAAGTTCATAAATACCAAAAATCAACTGACTTGCTGATCATAACATCGACAGCCGCTCTCTCTCTTGAGCAGAAAGAAAAACAAACAAATTTTTAAAATATCTAAAATAACACAAATCTGCTTCCTTTCACATAAGCCAAACAAAAAATAACAATAATAAAAAACAACAATAATGATGACAAAAACACAAATTGCCGAGCAATATTTTAATCGCATACGTAACCGTTATCCAAATCTTGACAGTGAAATTAAGGATATTCTAGCCGAGCACACAACGCCCGCAACGAGTATCAGTCTTGGCGGTTTCGTCCGTAAGTAATAAATATAAAATCAAGCTTAAAACTGAAAAAAAAATTATTTCAATTTAAAAAAATGTATTTCAATTTTTTTTAATCATTTTTGCTACTCTTTTTTGCTTCCTTTTTTCCAGTGAAATATGAAAATGTGACAGGCAAGAAATTTCCGCTGCGCATGTGCATGATGAGAGCAACTCAATATTTGATGACCATACAGAATATTTGCGTATATTCAAAGAGTACAGGCAACCGTTTTATATTTAAAAGAATGTAATTATTTTAGATGCTGAAATTATTTTGAAAGAATATTTGTTTATACATATTTTTTACACGCACATACGTGTAGGTTTTGCGGTTTATTTTTAATAAATTAGTTTATAATAAAAACACATTAAATATAAATTATTTTGTTGCTTTTTTTACTTCTTAGTAGTGTCTAAAGATGAAATTCTTATTTTAATTTCAAAAATTTTACTTCATACAATAATACTCACCACGTGTTGCCAAATGTCAAAAATATCAAGCTTTTTAAAAATTTATAATTATAATATTAAACACATTTTATTGATTGAAAAAAATAATAATAATAATAAAAATAATAAAAATTATACAAAAAATAAGCAAACAAAGAAATGAAAAATTAAGGTAAATAGATCAAATATTAAAAACTTAAAAATTTAAAAAAAAAATTAAAACAAATTAAAACAAAAAAAATTAAAACGAATTAAAAAAATTATATACATAATAAAAAATATTAATAAAAATACATTTTTATTGATTAAAAAAATATATATTACAAATATTACAACGTGAACAAAAATATTAAAATATGTAATTTGAAAAACAGAAAAAAAATTTTAAAATCTTAAATGAAAAATATGGTAAATTCCTAGATTCTTTTTTTAATTTAAAAATTTCTTGATATTCTCATTTTCATGTAATAATACTCACCACGTCTTGTAAAATAATAAATAAAAACTGAACTCAAAAAATACTGAAAATAAATTTAAAATAAAAATAAAATATTAAAAAATTAAAATATATAAAAAAATAAATATACTAAAAATTGTTTTTTTAAACATATAAAAATAAAAATTAAAAAAAAAATTATTATTATATTGTATTTATTAAAAAATAATAATAAAATAATTTTAAAAATCATACAAAACTAAAAAACAAAACAAATATTAAAATAAAAAATATAAGAAAATTTATAGAAAAATATTAAAAAAATAAAAAAAATTCTGCTTTTCAAGAGCACTCATCAGCAACTCGGTATAAAGCAAACGTGAGACGAGATAGATACAGAGAATTGAAAAGGGACGCAGGCCAAAGGAACAGTTGCCGAAATGTGTGAGTATGAAGAGCTTGAGAACTAGGTAACGCTGCAACGAAAAGATGCAGAGACGTACAGAAGTTTTCAAAACCGGAGCAAGCTCTTGTAGGACCCAAAGAAGAGATCTATCGACTGATGCTCAAAGTAAACTGAATTTATAGATGGAACACTACCCCAAGCTGTTAAATGGCAGTGAAAATGCAACGCCAAGACATGGCGAACCCAATTATGGAGCAGATGTTTCATTGTACGACTATAAAGAAGTTCTCGAATAGCAATCAGCCGCTTGAAAAACAATAAAACTACAGAGCCTACGGATTACCGACGAATTAGAGATAAAAAGCATACTTCAGTTTCAGTTGCAAAAATTAATGGCGAATGAAAACATGGCCGACGATTGAAACCTAAAATTGATCTGCCCAACTCTCACAGAAATTTTGTAAAAGACTCGTAGTAAGGAGATCGAGTTCACGAAAAGGAGCTACATCTAGATCGCTTCACTTCAAAAAAATTTAAAACTTCAACTTAGACTCAATACTCACCTAGTGTTGAAAAGCTTGCTCTCTGTTATTCATAGAACGCCACACAAATATAGCTTACAAGCTTTACAAAAAAAAAAACCAAAAAAAAAAAAAAAAAAAAAAAAAAAATACAAAAAATTATTAAATTAAAAACCTTTTATATTACAGTGATTTCAATAATTTATTTTCAAACTAATCTAAAATATCAACAATAATTTTTTGCTTCAAATATTTTTGATTGCCTTTCATAAACATTGCATAAATATTTCTTAATTTATATCATTTTACAATAAATTTGATGTAAGAAATACAAATTAAATATTTTCGAATTGATTTCATATACAAATGTATTTGCATTTTTTATTTATTATTTTTATGGGTCTCGTATAAATTAGAAGATTTCTTAATTTTCTTTTTGTACTCAATTTTGTTTTTTTTTTTTTTTTTTAAATACATATATAGCCCAGCCGTATCAGTCCAAATGTAGAAATGTATTTCTGAATTTGTTTTTTGGAAAACTATAAACTATTATTGGTTATTATTAATTGATAAATTTATATTTATTTAATAGCTAAAATTTGTTTCGAATTAAAATGAAAAGTATAGAATTTTTTTCTATGTAGAAATATTTGAATTAATAAAATTTTTTTTGCAACAATTTTTATTTTATAAATACCATTATTTCTTATAACAACGTATAATCTTAATTTTTTTCTTTCTTATATGTAAATACATACATTTTTATTGAAGAAAATATATTCTTGTTTCATATTTCCATAAATCATCATGACTTTTATAATTTATATTCATACATACTTTTAGTTAAAAGAAATATATTTTTATTCGTTACTTTCTTAGACCAACATTTTAAATCAGGTTTTATAGCGTTTAATCGATTTACAGGAATTAAAAAATGTTTTTTACTGATTTATTTTATTTAAAACATTTTTTTTTTTATTTAAATCACCAGCAAGTATATAATTAAATACTTTTTTTTAGAATTCCCACAGATATAGTTATATATTAGATGCTTTCAATCAGCTTTCAATATTGCAAAATATTTTTTGTATTAATGCGCAAAATAATCGATAATTTATATCAGTAATATCGATATATTTTAACCAAATCTTAATTAATCGAAATCAATCAAAATAACCAAGTAAAATGGATTTGAAATCTCAAATATGTTTTTAATTTTCAGCCATATAAGAGACCGATGACCAGAGGATTAAACTCATTGCATTTAAGATTCGTCAATTAAATAAAAAAAAAAATCAAGTACCCACGTTCCACTTTACTTTAACCGAGAATGATGAGCTGCAGGCAAATCAACTTATTTAAATCCGTCAGTATACTTCGCGGCAGGATTCAGTATTTTATATTTCAGACCATTAATAAGGTCTAAAAGTTTATTTTATGTGCGCCACTTAATCGTCAACATTAAGCGCGAGAGTCAAGAAACACCAAACCAGGTTTCGTAAATTTCAAAATTATAATTTCATCAACTGACTTCAACCTCAAGCCAACCGAGATTGAAATCAAAGAAGTTGGGAGGAAGTGATGGTCGCTAGCACGGTTCGTAACTTAACCTTCAGTGGAAAACTACCATTACTAAGGCGCACCTAATGAAATCATTCCGCTGGTGTACATAGAAAGTCCATGTAGTGGTCCCTACGTAATCGTCACCACAACGAAAGAAAGTTGAATATTGAAAATGCCTAGAACCTGGTTAGGACACTTCATATGGATACCTGTTTGGCCTAAGCTAAAATTATATTACTACCAAAAATAAGTAATTTAAAGTAGTTCATCATCAGACTATTATCAATTTTTCTTACATTGGAAATTATTTTGAAAAAAAATTTCAGAAACTTGGCTCTCCCATTCATTAAGAACGATGTTTTCTCATTGCATGGACACAATGTTTGGTTTAATGCCAAAAATAAGACATAAACGAAGCTAGATTCAGTGGTTACCTGATAGGTAAAATCTCTAAGAAACATCTTCATATAGGTTAGGTAAGAATTTCAAGTTTAGTAAACGAATTTTAAACTTAAAAGTAATTATTGTATCTATATAAAAAATTATTCTTCCATTTTTTCAGTAGAATAACGTAATATGCATTTATAAATTATTTAAAATGCATTTTCGTAAGTTAACGTTTTCATACAAGAACTATAGTAGCCGTAGCATACTTTTAGGCGCACATTTTTTTATAGTGAAATATTTTTACAAATCAAAAAAAAATATATTGATTAATATCTCGCTGTAAAAATTATTTTTATTTTATTTATGACATTTTTGGTTTTTTAGAAAGAATTCCGCGGCAAGGCGGATGAATGTTTTCACTAAAAAAATATTTTTATAAAGAAATGCGTTAGACAGCACCTGTTATGGACTTTTGGAAGAATAAACTCAAAAGCCTTGTAACGCAAATTCAAAAAAATAATGACAGAATACAGAGCAGAAGGCAGCTATATGGGAAGGCTTTCAACTACATGGGGTATACCACTCTTTAAGCCACCTCTAATGCCCCAACTCAAAGCTAAGTTGCATACCGCTCAGGGTGTAGTGCTGATAAGCTGAAAGCTTTGGAAATTCTTTCACCTCATGATTGGACAACAACCAAGCCGCCAATGAAAATGGGCGGGCTAAAATCGAACGCCATAAGAGGTCGGAGAGTGTCTTACTTGGGAAAAAGTGGTCACGTATGACGAATGCTGCGCCTAACCTAAAGTCTAAGCTATCAGGCAATTTATTATAGCTCTGTGCTGACGGTTCAGAGATTACATCTTGCGCTTTTTGGATCTCTTGGTATGCAAACCAGATTTACACGTAAGTTTGCGCATTTTCATAAACGATGGAGCTACTTTCGTAGATAATAAAAATAATTTCTAAAAAAAAAAAAAAATAATTAACAACAAAAAACTAGCATATAATGTCATTTACCGACGTGTCCAGTCGACGTTGACGTAATCGAGCTGGACACAAACGCCGACGATGACTCATCCAGCATTTGTTGAGGGTGCGCGTTAGCTTGATGGTGGTAATCAACCGATAAGTTAGCCTGCTGTTGCTGTTGCTGTTGCTGCTGTTGGCTCTGCTGTTGTTGACTATAATTCGCATATTGCATTTGTACGTTTTCGGCTTTCTGTTGTAAATGATAATTTGCATTTAAGTGCATCGAAGCGGATGCATTCGTTGGCATTTGTAGGACTTCACTGCCCTGGTTGTCGGCTCTCGTCGAGCCGGCCGCATTGCTGCCACCAACATTAGTCAGCGCTGGCGAAAGTACAGTCGGCGTTGAGGGTGCGGATCGTGTGCCATTCGAGAGGTTTGCGGCGCGTTGTGATAATTTTGGTATTTGAAATTTACTATTGATACCCTTGATGAATTGCTCCATATTCGCAGCCATGGCGGGTGATGCATAATGTAGTATTTTCAACATATCCGCTTGATGATCCAAGCGTGTGGCTGGCGTGGTTGAAGTAGTGGCTGTGGAACTGTGTGAAGATGAAGACGACAAGGACGAGGACGATCCTTTTTTGGACGACTTACGTGACGACGTTGACTGGCCGCTGGCGTTTAATTCGACGAAAGTATTTGTACTATAGCTTTTTGTCAAACCGCCTGCTGAGTCGGATGTTGATTTTGTTGATAAGCTACCTGATGAAATTGACTTTTGAAATGGATACTTTGCAGTGCTGCCTTTTTTCGATGACAACTTTCCACTTGACGTTAATTTCCTTGAAGCCGGTCCACTACTAACACCCGGCTTAAGGCCTGTACTCAATTTCTTGCTGGAGCCCGTCGCTTTTGTACCCTTCCATGCTGCTGTCGTTGTGGTTGTTGTGGAAGAAGACGTACTAGTTCCGTCGCTGCTGCTACTGCTGCTGCTGATGTTACTAGATGACTTGCCACCACCGCTGCTCGTCTTGTTAATGGTCAGCTTTAAGCCCTCTTGACTCGTTTTCACCATATATTCGCTAGAACTATTGTATGATTGGGTTGATTCGGCACGTCTACCAACACCAACATCACCATCGCCATCACCCACCATACTGGTCGACTCACTGTTGCCAATGTCCGGCGGCGGCGAGTGTTGCTGCCCCGACAGTGGCGCTACCGGCTGTGCTGGTGTTGCTATTGTTGTTGCTGTTGTTGGCGCGACTGACATCGTTAACGCCGTCGAACTAACCTGACAAAAGAATTTCGTATCATAGAGAGGGTGTGTGTGTGTGTGAGTGTGTGCGTGCCGTTGAGGATTATTAAAACCGGCAAGCGTAAAACAAATTAAAAACCAATAGTTACGGGTACAAGTGGGTATCGAAGGAAAGAGGGTTCGAATGAGTTGCGCAAAATGGTAAAATGGGTAATTTCAAGTAAAGAAGAGAGCAAAATTATTTAGCGCACGGAAAGTGGAAATTATAAAGAACATAATGGCAAAAAATATAGAGTTTGAAAAGGAGAGAGATAGCGAGAGAAATAGAAAAAGAGAGAGAAAAAGAGAGAGAGATAGAGAAAGAGAAATAGAGAGAGATAGAGGAAGAGAAATAGAGAGAGATAGAGAAAGAGAAATAGAGAGAGATAGAGGAAGAGAAATAGAAAGAGAGAGATAGAAAAATAGAGAGAGAGAGAGATAAAGAAAGAGAGAGAGAGAGAGAAAAAGAGAAATAGAGAGAGAGAGAGAGAGAGAGAAATAGAAATAGAGAGAGAGAAATAGAAATAGAGAGAGAGAAATAGAAATAGACATAGAGAAATAGAAATGGCGAAAGAGAAATAGAAATGGCGAAAGAGAAATAGAAATAGAGAGAGATAGAGATCGAGATCGAGATAGAGATAGCGATATAGAAACAGATAGAGAGATAGAGAAATAGATATAGAGAGAGAGATAGAAAAATAGAAATAGAGAGAGAAAGATAGGTAAATAGAAATAGAGAGAGAGATATAAAAAGAGAAATATAAATGGCGAAAGAGAAAGAGAAATATAAATACAGAGAGATAGAGAAAGAGAAATGGAGGTAGAGAGGTACAGAGTTAAAGAGATTAAAAAAGATAAGAGATGTAGAGAGATAGAGAAATAGAAAGAGAGGTAGAGAGATAAAAAGAGATAAAGATAGAAACAGATGTAGACAGAGATCAAAAGAGAGGAAGCGAGATAGAGAGATACAGTTAGACATTAAATAAAGAGAAAGGGAAAGAGAAAGGGAAAGAGAAAGGGAGACAATAAGAAAAAGAAAGAGAGGGAGAGAAAGAGAGAGAGAGGGAGAGAGAGAGAGAGAAAGAGAGACAAAAAGAAATAGAAAGAGAGGGAGAGAGAGAGAGAGAGAGAGAAATAATTTCATAGGGTTAGTAAAAGTTACTTTATGACTTACTACCTTATTTAAAAGTTTAACCTAAAACTGAAAATTTATCAGAGTTCAAAAAAAATTTTAAAATTCGAAATAACCTAAAAAAATAGTTTGAATTGCTCAAAACTTTTAATCGATATAAACAAAATAATAAAAAATTTCAAAAATATTTACTACCTAATTAGGCTAGCTAAGCTTTATACTGATAATTTTGTGGTTTTGAGGTTAGAATCATGAAATTTATCTGTATTAAAGGTTAAGTTAATGCAATAACAGCGAGGCTTGACAAAATTGAACGTTAAATTTGAAATATTAATTGAGTGTTGGAAATCTGATGTTTCTTAAAAGCTAACCTCAAAGTGTAAAATCTTTAAAGATACATCCTTGCGGGTTTATTATTATTTTATTAATTATTACCACACCTTTGATAAAATTATGTATTTTTTTTTTTTTTTCTACCAGAACATGCAATATTTAAACAGAAATAGCAATCTAAAATACTTGTAGCCAAAAATAAAAACTATAAAAACTAAAACCAACACACTTTTAAATTGTAAATGGAAAATAATAAAAGACAAACTACATTTGTTAGCATAAAATATTTATTTTTTATTGTATTTTTTTTTAGTTTAAAAAAAAACTATTATACAAAAATTGTGTATATTTTAAATTAAGCGAATACATACATTTATTTAAAACTTGGCTTGTAGAAAATTCAAATACCATCAAGTTTTTGAAAAAAAAATACATGAAACAAATATTCACTTTTATATATTTTTTTTTAAACAAACTTCTGATTAAGTAAATGTATGCATATATGCCGACCACTACTACCATAACACAATGCCAACCTTCTAAATAATTAATTTTTGACAAAAGTAATTGTATATCAATTTCTATGCGTATGTTATTTCAAATTAATTTATTTAAAAATATATTTTGCATTTAATTTTTCAGTTTGAGCACTGCAAAAAGTATGTTTGTCTAAAATGGTATTAAAACGTAAATGTATGTATGTCACATATATTGTATATGAAGAACACAAACTAACTAAATGATTCAAGCCTAAAATTCATTTCTAAACTCTTTCGAAACACTTTTGAATAAAATACAAAAAATACCACTCATTGGACAGCTTATAATGTAATTCTTCAAAAGCTATGGAACTACAATTTAACTTATAACTACTGAAAATTATATGAACTTACCGCGCTGCTAACCGCTTTGCGCATAGCTGCCGCCTGTGATGCCGCCACTGCAGCTGCATTCATATCCATGCCACCGCCCGCACCGTTGCCGCTCAGCAACTGACCAACACCGCCCAGGCCACCGCTGCCCATACTAGACATATTGCCAACGCCACCTCCATAGGCGGCGGCGCCACTTCCACCGGTACCACCAACACCGGCTGTGTTCATAGCCTGTGGCGCAGCTAAATGGTTCATCGATTTCATTTGCTGCATGCCCACAGCACTGCCGCCGGCACTAACGCTACCGCCTAAACCCATTGCAGTTTTCACCGCATTTGCGGCTGCCACACCAGCTGCGGCGGCCGCTGATAGACCAACGGTATTGCCCACCAAGCCACTAGCGCTGCCACAACCGCCTTTGTCGCCTTTCGGACTGAGACTGGTTGCTGTGGCACTTTTTAACGTAGACATACTGGGCTTGCCCGATGAGCCATGCTTTGGCGAGTGCGTGCCGAATGGCGACTTCGGGCTGTTCGATGCCGTATTCGAATGCTTCGGGCTGCTGTAGACAGGCGAATGCTTTGGGCTGGGACGTGTTGAGAGCAGCGCTGCATTACCAGCAGTGCCAACGCTACCGCTGCCCAGCATGCCACTGCTACTGCCACCTTTTGGTGATGAGGAGGGTGATGAGAATTTACGTGCTGCCACTGTGGCTGCCGTTTCGCTAGTAGCCGCGGGTGAATTTTGACGAGAATAAACTTTTTCGGGTGGACCCATTGGTGAATCGTCGCGTTTCTTTTTGCGTTTTTTCTCTTTCTGTGCATCGCTAGGGGACGGTACGTCCAGTGGACGTTTATTAGAGACCGTTGACATGTTGGCGCTAGTGTTTGTATTTAATCCGCTGCCACCGCCCACCACTGCGTTGCTATTACTGGATTTCTTATCTTTGCCCGTAGCATTAATGGGTGTTATAGTGATGGTGGAGGGGTTATTGACACCGGTTTGCGTCACTGGCGTACCCGCTGCCATGGTGGTGATGGTGCCGCTAGTGTTAGCGCCATTTGCAGACGTTAACGGTATAATTTCTATACCCACAGACCGTTTAACTTCGACGCCCTGTTGTTGTATAGCGCCTCTACTGTTACTTTCGGGCGATATGGGTGTTATACTTACACAATTTTTTAAATTGGTTTTATCCATCCATATGTTCTTATACTTGTCGGCTATTTCAATTTCCGATTGTTTGCCAATAGCATGTTGGTCGTGTGGCGAAGTTGAGGACAGTTGTTGTTGCTGCTGCTGCTGCTGCTGTTGCTGTGTTTGTTGTAGCTGATGCATGCCGCCCAAAGAGCTACTATCAGCAGCATTAAATGGTAAGTTATTTTGCATTTGACTCTTTGGGCTATCATGAAAATCCTCTTGTTTTATTTCAGTTTTGTATTGAAGAAACCCTGCAATGCCGGACGCATTGGCATTAGCTGCTGTGGCTGATGCACCACCACTACCAGCCATTCCACCAGCACTAACACCACTCAACGTGTTTGTTGCCGAAGCCATATTAGGCAATTGTTGTTGGCGTGCATTTGGCTCCATTTTGATTGGGCCGCCGCCACCACCACGCATGCCCACGCCTCCTACACCACCACCACCTACATCATTTGGCCCCATGCTCATGTTGAAGTTTCCGTAGGCGCCTGTCGATGGACCAGCACCACTCAAACCACCCATACCACCACCAACACCCCCACTAATACTGCGTTGAAATAATTTCATGGTTTCCTGATCCCAGTATTTGAGTAGCGCACGTATGGTCACAGGTATGGATAGACATTTCTCAACAATTTTTGTAAGTTTCAACGATAGCAGATCATAGTTGTGCGTGAGCGAGAAGAGTGTACATTTTACATTGCCATCGCGAAGGTCAAACTCTAGCGTAGCCATAGATTCCTCGTAAGTATGTTGAAGTGAGACGCTGATTTGTTGGAAAGAGATGGCATTCACTTCTAGTATTGTCGTAGAATCCATGTCTGCAGGGAGCCAATGTGTTTTAATTATTGAAGATATTCTTCAATGAGTTCAAAATCAACTTACCATTGCCCATTTTGGATTGTGTGCGCACACAACTTGCCAAAAGTGTATAAAAGAGCGCTTGACGCTTTAAAAAATCTAAAATTTTTGGCACTTGCATAGGCTCCGTAAAAGGTATGGATGTCACCAAAGTAGCCTGTTAAAATAATATCAATAATGTATTCTATAAGTCAACTAAGAGTACACAAAAGTACAAAAGCCCACCTGCAATTGTTTATTCTCCGTGAAGAAGTAGCAATGAGTCTGATCAGGTAAATTTACAAATAAACCCTTCTGAGAGTTTTTTAGCTGTTGTTCAGATGCCGTTTGTACTACTAAATTCATAATCGACGAAACGCTGACCTCCTTTTTATCCGTAGATTCTAGCCCACTTCCATCAGCTGCGGCACCTAGCGGCAAGCCCAAAGATCTCAAATTAGCGTGACAAACAGGCAATGGTTTATTTAAACGCAATACAAATGTAGCTGGCAAGAGCATAGAGTTTTGCTGATTCAGCGGCGCATATATTGGCATTTCGGAACCTGTTTGTGGATCATTAGCTACGCTGACAATAGGCAAAATTTGTAATTTATTTGCTGAAGAGGCTTCCAAATTTACTGTAACACTGAAACCAATATCTTTGCTAGTTAATAATTCGGTTGTAAGTGGTTCCACTGTTTTTGTATCCAACGAAATAAGGTCATAAGGTGAGATGAAGTAGATGAGTTTCATAGGATGACCTCCGCGTCGTTTCAATACTAAACCGACTGAAGATGCTTTAATTAGTTGTTGAGAGTCTTTTGTAAAATTTTGCATTTGAAAGAGATTATAAAGATCTGTTTCCATAGCTTGTAAAGCAACAAAAGCTTTTGTCTTAACTTTTGGCTCAGCATTCAATTGGTAAATGGAGGATAAACCTTCCAATTGTACGGTAAAGTCCGCAAAATCACCTCGATTTAAGCAATTCACTAATTCACTGCAAGATTGCTGTTCTATTTTGCATTCATGATGTACTTTTACATCAGTCAATGCACCATTTGCATCCAAAATTATTTCCAAAAAGAACATGTCTGTGGAAATGAATAGACCTGAGGTATCCTCCATGAACTTAAGACCAAGCTGGCGTGATAAGCTCTCCAAACGTTCGACTAAACCTTGCCTGGATGTTACTTTAATACAATGTTGCATACTATCCAGACATTTTTGCAAATTAGCCTTTTCTACAGCGTCGAGTGCGTAACGCTTTTCTAGCAATGACATACGCATAGCCTTGGATAGTTCAGCAAAAGTTTTGTGTTGAGTCGAACGGGTACGTATACGCTCCATAAGCAATTCACGCTGCCATTGTTTATTTTTCTCAGCCGCACTGGGTGCTGAACTTAGCAATTGAGCAGCTGTTGTTGCTGTAATATTAAGTTATGCAAAAGATTTATATTTTTTAATATTTGTAACAATCAATATTTTAAAGAAAAAAAATAACAATTTTACACTCACTGTTCGCAGCAGCGGGCGCCGTCTTTCCTAGAGCAGCACTCATTTTCCCTTACCAATGGGCTCACAACCACACGCAACAAAACCGGTAGGTGTAGCAAAAAGTGAGACTCCGTTGATCAGCAGCTTTTCGATACACTTTCACTAAGGAAAAGTATTTTATTTGTTTAATATACTTTTTCATTAATTTCACTTCAAATTTTATAGCGAAAATCTTTATGCCTCGAATTTGAAGAAAGTATTGTATCAATAATTACCTTTTTCTATAAATTATGTGGAAAATATATAAATTTTCTCGGCAAAAATTTCTGCCCTTTACCACAAGGATTTGCAAATTATTAGAAATGTGCAACAGTTATCATGTTTTCAAAACAATTTCCGTCGATAAACACAGTCGATAAAAATTTAAATGCTTGGTTTTCTCAGGGATACCACTCTTTAATTTTTCACTAAAAATAATTATTTGAGGAATATTAGAACTGATTTTTTTTCTGAAAATCATATAATTTTAACTACAAAAATTTGATGGAAAAAAATTCAGTATTATTATTTTATTATATTATTATTCCAAAAATATTTTAAAGATTTGATCAGTGACATAATAGACATTCTATTTATAATTAATTTATCCCCACACTACTGTGAACTAGCTCTGCGCTCATCCAGCATAAGAAATCTCTTGAACAGGGGATTAATTTTTCTAAAGCCAACCCAAAATCCGTAGCGAATATACCGTTATTCCCAAGTTGTTGAGTTTACTGATATAACGAAGAGTTGTGGATTGAAGTTAACTTGAATATAAAAATTAAATAAAATGAATGAGAGCTAAACTGACCATTCACTCCCTAGAACAGTATATAATTCACAAGTACCTGGGTCTGGATTTCAGCAGATGAGTCCAGCACGCCATTGCAAAGCGAATGACCAAACTCAGCTTGATAGGGAGAGTTTGAAAGGTTATTGACTTATTAAGCTGGACATACAAATCAAATGAAAATACGAGCTTGACAAACGTTTGTCCGATATACGTACGCCGCTTCCGTATAGTTTTTTCAGTAAATAAATCTTAAATAAATTTATTTTATACAGATAAATAAATCTGTTATCACAAAAAATATCGATAAACCAAATCCATCCAAATATTTGACGTCTTCGTAATTTTCTTTGCACCATCTTCTTGTAGTGAAAAGAAAAACGTCAAAATTTGACAATTCAAATTAGACGTGTGGTTGTTTTTTTCTACACTTCTGCAGGAGTGTAATTTTTATTCGATACGATTGCAAATTTTCTGGGCTGAAATCAACCACATCCATCAACTGGACTTCGCAATCCAACTAGATTAGTGAAATAATTAAGAATGGCCTCGTTAATTTTGCTGCGCAATGGGCAGTTTGCAAGTAAGTGAAATCGAATAATTCATAATGTTATAACAGGAGCACATAAATATTATGTAACTGATAAATATGCACCAAAAAATTGATAAATCTGACACAAAATTTACTACTCGGAATCATTTCAGAACAACAAGGTAGTGCTGCATTGAGTGTACTTTGTGTGCGTCTTGCTTCCAGCTCTACCGATGATGCGATACGTCCACTAAATTCAACCAATATCAGCAATATGCGACGCGGTACCGGAGGCCGTAGCAGCTTTAATGGTATTGTAGCAACTGTTTTCGGCTGTACTGGCTTCGTGGGTCGCTATGTTTGTAATAAACTTGGCAAAACTGGTACTCAAATGATATTACCCTATCGTGCTGACTTTGGTGAGGCTATTCGTCTTAAAGTATGCGGTGATTTGGGTCAAGTCTTGTTCCAGTTTTACGATTTAAGAGACGAAAAAGCTATACGCGATGCTGTGAAGCATTCCAATGTAGTTATCAATTTGGTTGGTCGTGAATTCGAAACTAAAAACTTTAAATTCAATGATGTGCATGTGGAAGGTGCACGCCGCATAGCTAGGTGAGTTAAATATGATTTTAATACTGAATTATATAGGTACTATATCTAAGTACTATACAAATTTTTTCCAGAATTTGCAAAGAAACTGGTGTTGAACGTTTGATTCATTTGTCTGCTTTGAATGCTAGTCCCGATCCCATGAGCTTTGTTTTGGAGGGTGGTAGCAACTTCTTGAAGAGTAAATACCACGGTGAATGTGCCGTACGCGACGAATTTCCCAACGCTACCATTATTAGGCCAGCAGATATCTATGGCTCTGAGGATCGTTTCCTGCGCTACTATGCGCATATTTGGCGTCGCCAATTCCGTGCAATGCCATTGTGGTTTGCCGGAGAACGTACTGTGAAGCAACCGGTTTATGTGTCTGACGTTGCACAAGCCATTGTAAACTGCGCTAAGGATCCCGATACTGCCGGTCAGGTTTACCAAGCTGTAGGGTGAGTTTGTAATACTAGTGTATTTATATGTGTTAAAAGTTACCTCATAATTATTTGCATTTTCAGACCTAAACGCTACCAATTAAGTGAATTGGTTGATTGGTTCCACCGCGTTATGCGCAAGGATGAAAAATGGTGGGGTTACCGTCGTTACGACATGCGCTGGGATCCCACCTTCCTATTAAAAGCTAAATTCACAGAGCTCATATGCCCTGGCCAACCGATCGGTGAATTGCATATCGAACGTATCGAACGTGAATGCATTACCGACGTTGTGCGCGCCGACATACCATGTCTAGAAGATTTGGGCGTACAGTTGACCTCCATGGAAGATCAAGTACCGTGGGAATTGCGACCATATCGTGCAGCGCAATATTATGATGCCGAATTAGGTGAGTGGGAAGAACCAGCACCACCAAAACCAATAGAGCATCGCGAAGAATTGCGTATGTTTGCATAAGATTACGATAATGGCAACAACGCTAACAACAATTACAATAAAAAATATGGAAATAATAAAAGAAATGAGACGAACGAAAGTTGGTGGCGTTGGTGGCCAGGCAGCGATATGAAAAAGAAACACTTGCAACTACGGGAATTACTTTTCGCTGTACTTGTTGTGCGTTCTTTGTGGTATGGCGTTACATCTAGTGAATTGTGGTCTTTTATGAATGATTTTGGTATTGAAGTTGATGATGAAACTTTTAATAGCAAATAAATTATTAAAAAACTCTACGGTTTTCAAAAGACCGATGTTAAAATTGCCTACATTGTTTTTTTGTTTGCATATCTATAATTGTTTCAGTAACCAGCCTTATTGCAAACATGCAATACAATCGCTCAACGCTATATTAGCAAAACAACCGTCCCAGCTAGTGGAGAGAAAAAAAAAAACGATACACACTTGGCATGAGGGTCTGATTGTGCTTCTCCTTAAATAACATAAAAACAGAGTTTAGTTAAATCTCTAGTCGTTCTACCCGCATATTAATCAGAAAACCATATAGAACATGTCTAGACTTACATGTACTCACAAGCAAAGCACGTATATTAGTATACGTTCTTTGTCAGAAGTTAGTTTAGTCAGTTATTTCCGGTTATTGCGGTTCCTGTTCTGACAAATCTTTTGTACTTTTGAAGCATTTGGGTATTTAGAACATTTTTGAGCTATTTAATTTTCGCGTTGTAAATAAAATTTGTTTTCAATTTGTTCAGAGTTATAAAATTAGTATCTCCAGTTTATTTTTTATTTCCTTTTCCTGCTATCGATTTTATCGTTATCGATTTAAAGATAACGCCATGAACACTGCCACCTCATACCGGCTTGCAGCTGACATATCCAGTCGGAAGATGCCATCTTGTCGACATTGAAAATGTCAACTTGCTTCACACACCTGAGCACAGCTGATCAGTGCACTGAAAATAGTTATTGCTTATGTTTGGTTTATCCAAAAATTTCGAGAGAATCTACTTGAATTGTTACTGCTAGAATTTGGGAGTAAAACCAGTTTCAAAAGACTGTTGGTCAAATGAAAGATCTGTATCTTAGCTTGCGCGTGCGTTTGTGGTAACTCCTTCGGTTTTGTATTGCGGCAAATAGAACCCGGAAAAAAGACGAGTAGGAAATAGCAAAAAGCAGCGGCAACGGTTCAACTTCATCGTGAGCCTTTCGTGCCAATTGACATTTGTATACATTGCTGTTCGGTTTACTGTCCGTCTACTATACCTTGTGAAATTTCTGGAAGTTTTAATTGAAAGAAAACATACATGTGTGAAAAATTCAATGTGGATATCTTAATTTCGTTGCTTATGTAAAGATAAATTTCTTTTATTTCTTTTTGCAATTGTCATGCGTGAGCGTTTTGTTCGCGAAATCTAAAATATTGCAAAATTAACAGTTTGTGTTATAAATATTTCTTGAAAAGTTGTCCAAAAGGATTATTCTGCTAAATAAGTGGATAATTAAAGTTTTTTTAACTTAACTAAAAGTGTCACACCCATTGTAGGAGCCGTTACAGTAAGTAAAACAGAATAACAGCCAGACCGAAGTGTCCGGGAAAAATCGAAATCAAACGAATTGCAGAGAAGAGCAAGGAAGTGTAAAATAAAATACGCCCTAGTATCGATAGACGGTGCCTACAGTTGCCTACAGGAAGCCAAAAATTTGTTTGTAGTGGTAGTGGTAAGAGCTTTGAAGCTGCCGTCAGTGTGTGTGCAAAATTTGCAGTGCAAAAACAAAAACAATACTTTACACAAGTATACCCGCAAAAATATTGCAGCGAAGTGCAGCTTTTCAATTGCAAACATACATATAAAAATACAAATCTCAGTACTCTTTGCGCCGCATTGGTCTTGCGCTATTTTTAGATTCTTGTGTACACTCTCCTGAGCCCAACGCAATTTTCATTGCATTCTTAGGCAATTGCAAAAAAAAAATATATATATATATATATATATATAATACATACCTAAATAATCGAAAGAATTCTAAGTGTTAAAAGAAATTTACAAATTACATCTCTATTAGTGGGTAAAAACCATTGTTGAGCAGTGGTGGTTGCTCGCCTTAAATTGACCCGGTAAATTTGCAGCGAAAAATTAATTAGCGTTAGCAACTACAGTAGTGGTTGCACTTTTCAGCATACAACCGAAATTTATGCGCTCTACCGCAACGGCGGCGTCAAAGGTGTACAGCCGACGGAGTCGTTACAGTTACAGCAGCAGCAGCAGCTGAAGACAGGTGAACTCCAGCTACGCTTCAGAATGCTATTTGCAGCTTGCACCACTGCAGCGCCAAAACCGTTGCAGCATTCTGCTCATGTCGCCAACAATTTGGGACAACAGCAGTTGACGACACTGCAACAGCTGAAGGATCAGCATATGATGTCCTTTTCGTCAACGTCATCATCATCATCATCGTCGGCGTCGTCAGCCACGTCGGTGTCATCTTCGGCTATGCAAACGCCGGCGCAAATGTCTCCGCAGCATCAAGTGGCAGCAACAGGAAATGCAGTTACGGCCGCAACGGTAGCAGCGGCAGTGGCTGCGCGTGCCAGCGAGGAGGCCAAGGGTGAGTACAAAAGTGCAAATGTATGTATGTATGCACATGTTAAGTAAAAAGCAGGAAAAGATAAAAGTACAAAACTTAACTGTGTAGTATGTGCATGGTGTTGTCAATTTTCTATAAATGCAAATGAAAGGAAAATCCTTTTATACAAAACGGTTCTTTTGCATAAATAAACTTAGAATACATGCTTATGTATATGCACTGGAAATATCTATGTATTTGTAGACATTGATAAAACTGCGCTAAACGAAAGTGACAATGGCCTTTCCGTATGTGTTTTGTTTTTATTATTTTTAATAATTATTTTTGTACATTTATACACACCCACCCACGACAACAACGTTATGAATGCTAAACTTGATTATACTTGTATATTCAGAGTATGCACATATGTACATACTCGTACATATATTTATAGGTAGATTTGTGTTAATTTTACTTATTACTTTTCGCTTGCGCGTTTTTGCCGGTATAAACCGAGCGCGCTTCAATCATTCATTATGCAATCAGGGAAACATATATAAGAATATGTATGTATGTACGTGTGTATGTATGAACTTGTATCACAAAATGAAATAAAATTTACATTCATATGTATGTATGTAAGTATTGTGCCTGTAATAGTGAAAACTGGTCAATATAATTTTAAGGGACTAGTTAGAAAGTGTACCATTTTGAAGCGGTGAAATAACTAGAAAGTGTTAATGGAAGAGATACCGAGTAGAAGTACGACTGAAAGCTGAAAATCTCAACACATCTATTTAGAAAGCCTTAAAGGGGTTGTCTAAAAATCAAACAATTTCAAATAAAAAAATATATATGTATAGCATATGCTAGTTATGTACGTGCATATGTGTGTTTTGTGATTTTTACCTACCTATTGTTTTGATATTTTCCTGAAAAGAAAGCAACAACACCTCGTTGTGACGCCGAAGGTAGATAAAAATTAAAAGCTTTAATTTCTCAAACCGATAGCGTCACACATTCTTGGCATCAGATGCTCATTAATTCAAAAGTATATACTTACATTGGTACATATCTACATAGATATATGAATACCTCAGTATATGTACTCCTCGTATATATGTACATACATATATGTGTGTTTGTGCATATGTATTTGTGTACAAATGTACATTTATCAACCATTTGACTTCAGAATTGGCTCTCATACACCATTTTTGCTTTTCTTTACTTCTTTGTTTATATCATAAATTTGTTTAATAGAATTTTAATTTAAATTTAGTGTAATATTTTGTTTTGTTTCTCACTAACTTTCGTATTTTTACATTATTGTTTTTTGTTGTCATTCGTTTTGTTTTGTGTTCGTGAAATTCCTAAATAGTTTCTATTTTGGTTTGTGTTCAATATACGTATGTATCAATATATATACATATATACACACACATGCATTAAAAAACTCCTGTAGCTACTAATGGCGTGTTGGCATTAATAAAATTCCTAACTTTTTGCAGCACCACTCAATGAATGAATGACATACGTACTACATACATACGTGTATGTATGTAAATCCATAAAAATATATTTTAAAACCATCCTATTTAAATCCACTCTTTCTGCTGAGTAAGAACTCAGATGGGGAAAGTATTTTGTCTATCATTCTTATGCAAAGTGGACAGAACCGATTATGTTGTTTTAGGTTATGTTCAAGCAACTCACTTCATCCGATCACACACCAAAAAACCTCTAAAAGGCAAGCATACAATTTGGGTCTTTAACGTATCGCTGATTTGCGCCCTTCGAAACTAAAAAAAAGAGAAGGAAACAGTGACCCCATCAAGTAGTCGAAAGCAGTGGTGGGTTACATGGCATCTTCGACATACATGAAAGTCCAAGAATTAAGCCTTCACGACGAGGCGTCACGTCAACTTATCTAAATTCTTTACTGCATGCCAATTACAACTACTCGACAAGTCTTCATCAGCTATATGAATTGAATGTGAAACTTATTGTTATTGGGAGCCAAAGACCACTTCAGCTTCACTGCTACGGACAGGGAAAAATCAACTTCTTTAGCCCGTAGCACCTGCAAATCGGCAGCTCAAATTTTCTGAGTTGTGCTGGTTTCAACGTCGTACATTGACTGCCCAGTAGATTACCGTCCTGTTATACATATGTATGTACATGTATAGTTTATCTTCTCACAGGCGTAAGCTGATTTTAACGCGGACCACGATCTTTGGTATTCCAACTTCGGGAATAACCGTTAAGGAATGGAGTTTGCAACGGAATTGTGGTCAATTTCCTTAAGACCTTAAAACTCCGACCCGTGTTATCATCCACCTCTATTCCGCAAAATAATCGTGACCGCTGCCGCATCCGTTTAATCCCGGCAGCACCGTCTCCATTCAACACCACAGAAGAGAATCATTAAACACTTCACAGAGAGACTGTTAACACCTTTATAAACTCGTATTGCGGTCAATGATATGAGCGGAATTCGACCATCACTCATAGCAGATGAAGGGCTGTAGGTAACTGACTAGATCCGAGTAATATGGTCCAATTAATTGCTAGACACTCTAGTGGCCAGGTTCAGGGCCATTCGCTCCCCACTCCAACCGGTATAGTAATTGTCGAAAAAAAGTCGTACCGTTAAATAGTTCGCCTCATTCATCAGACTATTTAGACTTGATCCCGACATACTTAACAATGCACCAGTATGCAATTTACCACCAACCACCGACCATAGCCACCTAGAAGAGTAACTCATCTAATATCCCTCCACCTCTGTTCCGAAACCGTCAAAAATGAGCACGTTTCCTAGACCTCTTGTTGGATGAAACCAATGACTTTCTGGTGGCGCTACAAACAACGAAAACAACAATAAAAATTTGATGTCGAAAAATTGTAATCATAATTGATATCCTAACTAAAGGTCCGGCTGGACTGTTGTTGTTGTTGTAGGGACCGAAAAAATATTTCCCACAATGGGTGTTCGGAGAATATTACGGAAGTGTCAAACCTTAACCGGTTCTGATATAAAAATCCGAATGTCGCGGGAACTATTTGATTTTAGTTGCCTCTTATGACATACTACATGCCTCTCCGCAGGTAAATTCTTGAACCCTTCACCCGCAGGGGATACTTCCTGGACTATTCAAGCCAAATTCTGCCAAAAGGAACGACACACGCTATATTTTAGTTATTATATTTTACGGCTGCCTACCGTAAACTGGCGCTGAACAATACCGGAAGCGCAGTCGGAGTCGGGATGAAACCATCCAAGTCGTCCTACACCAAATGCGATTTCTTCGGACAAGATGGCTCCCCAACATGTGACTCCTTCGACTGCATTGATTCGGTTATAAAAGCGTGGGTAGTGCATATGCCAATTAAGAAGACGAAGAAGAAGAAGAAGAAGCAGAATATTTACATATCCATATAGTCTGGTATTGACGTAAATGGGCTTTATGTGATATAATTACGGTTGCATTTAATAAAATTATTTCGCCAATATTTGTTAACTCTGACTCACAAATAAATAGAAAAAAGCGCAGCAAAATGTTTACAACAAAGTGACATATCGACGAGTGCAAATAATAAATTATTTGATTAGATTTAATGTAAAGCGCATTACCCAACAGCTACGCTATAGAATAACATTCGATTTAAAATTTATGTAATTAGAATGAGTGTGTATGTATGTGTGTGTATGTGTATGTGTGACATTACGGCACACGCCGTGTATTATGATATATATATGTATGTAAATATGTATGTATATACACGTACGCGTACATAATATTTCCTATCGATTGACTTTAAATGCTTTTAATGCATTGTTTATATGCAATAATTCCATGAAATACGAGAAATGCAACTGAATTTGTTTGTTTTGAGTGGGAGAAAAAATATTTGAAAAACTTTCCAGCCGGCGCCGGTATTATATGGTGAATTTTGGAATGATAGTCTTTCAGTTTAATGATGTTATTGTAAATCTTTCGTATTGGGGCTAATTTAGGGGCCGGAATTCCTCTTGATTTCCGGCAACGGGGATCGGGAGAGGTGCCGGTCCTTCAGAAAGCTGAAAACTTATCTAATTGCCTGTCGTCAAGCTCTCAATAAAACATTGGTAGGATTAGTTTAACAACACATTAGCGTTTATTAAAGAAGATATTAAAAAGTTTTATTAAAAATGTATATATGTCTGCAAAACCTACATAAAATATATATATACTCTCACCTGAGCTGTTGCTGCTGTGGCTGCTGGATCAATAGAAGGGCTTCAGGCCGACAACATTGGCCTTTTAAAGGTTTCCACAAAAGGTGGAAATCCTAAATGGGACTAACTGGACTAACTGGACTTTTCCCATATATTTGAAGAGTCACTTAGTCGAGAACAGAAGACAGAAGACATCAGCGACATCTCTAGGTAGAGGCTAAGGCTGCTGCTCAGGGTTGCACGCGTAAACAGTAGACGAATCATTAAATGCGTCTACTGTAGGTAAAAAAAAATTAGCATAAAATAGAGAATTTGCCAGGATTGCCTTTTATATTTCGGAATTTGGCAACTTTAATGTTTCAGTCTGGCACTGACAACTTGATTGTAAAGTTTGACATTTTTGATGTTGTACGAGGGGATTAACAAAAGCACGGTAAGTTGACCAGAAAGGCGTCCACGGGAGGACCGTTGACTTTTAAAGGATGAGACCTGGAAGAGAGAAGTAAAGTTTTTTATGATCCACAAACTATGATCTTTGGAAGTACGTACCCCTTCAGCTCCCGAAAGTGACTATGATGCACAAAATGAAATATTAGCAGCATTTAGAAGGAAAAATAAAGCTCTTACTTGATTTTTACGAGGTGTGACAATTAAGTCATAAGACCGTTTCCATAAATACCGTATATTTCAAAATTATTCTACAACTCTGCCATCCCCGTCAACTTAGTCCCCTTGGGCAGCTATACAACGATTGCAGCGCGTTTTTCATGCTTCGTAACATTTATGCAACGCTTCGACTGGGATGTACGAGAGTACC